TCCCACTTTCAGGCTTCATTTATTGTATGATAAAACTAATATCTAGATAAAAAGTACTAAATACCTCGAACACTCTTGTTAGCCTAGTCATCAAACTGGGGTATTTCGCTTGTTGTCTAATGATTGGCAAATTAAGTGATGAGTTCTGTGGGAGATTTTCACTTTTTAAGGCACAAATGCCCTTACCGATAGATAATAGGACTACCAGATAAGACAATCCAAAGTCCTGTGCAACGGCTTCTGCTTTTATACGATTAGGGTTACTCCGCTTTACGTCGGTACAGGTTTATGTGTTATGGATCCATTTAATCCATTGTCTTAAGACTGCTTCAGATTTGTTGTCATTTGTGAAAGACGGGTAGAGTCCATTTCCCATTAGCTTCGCCTACTTTCTGGCTTATTCTTTTTAAGTCAGTAATTTTTTGCACCATCTAACATTTTTTGAGGAAAAATCTTACCAGTCTTTGTCATCATTGCTCTTTCAAATACGCTTCATGCTAATGTTCAGCTCTAATGCAATAAATCCATTCTTCCTAAATGATGGTGCGATAGGGACTAGATTATTCGAGCAAAAAAGACGTCTACGAATAAGTCATGTGTTTCTCGCCTAAGGAATATGCATGAAAGGTCATATGACACTCCTTCTAGAACAATCGTGCGTCACCATAGTTCCGCAAGAGCCAATCAGTTTTCACACTACCAAGGCTATTTAACTGGCGCTGAAGCACGTCCTTATGTTATTGCAGTGAGCTAGTTTTCATTGCAATGGAGATTCCAGTGCGAAGAGGCCACCGCTCAGGGGACAGGCAACTGGCTGTGAGGCATTCTAGTGGCGATCGAGACACCTCCCATGAGCGTGATTTTCCTATTTGTCCATTTACCGATCTCAATCGCCAATTCGACACAATGGAAAGGCAGCTTGCAGATTTCAAGGCTAGTGAATCTGCTACTTTTGTGTTGCGTCGCTCAACTTTTTATTTTTAAAACAATGAGATTGTATTTCACTCATTTCAAATCTGGACTCCACTTATTTTGTCACTTAATGGACACCTTCAGCGACCAGTAGTTAATGAATTCAGTGGCACGTTGATGCTACGATTGAAGTGAATTATGCATAGCCAAAATTTGAAATACCTAACTGATACATTTGACTTATACTATTAAGACATCGCTTTCGCTCCATCTGTTTAAACAAAAAATGATTAATGAAATCGATGCCTTTGTACTTAGGTTCTCATTCTTTCATTTAAAAAGTCTTTTTTGGGGTATAAGTCTTCGTTGAATATCGTTCGAACAGTATTTTAATGCATACACGTAAGTAGATTACTGTAACTGTATAAGGACTAACACTTTACGAAATGCCTTTTTTTGTTGTTCTCTTCATCTGGGTCAGTGGAACTCAGATTTTCCCTAACTAGTTTAAGCCATCGGTGCGATGAAATTCCAGAACTTAATGTGTGCGTGAGAATTTTGCCTTCACTATTGATATGAAATACTCTCCTATGAACCATCTATTAGCGATGGGTTGCTTTTTCCATGAGTGTCCATGAGTAGGGGTGCTGTTTGGGATTTTGCGTAAGTTTATATCATTTTTTTAACTTAAAGAGACGTTTCTCGAAGTATAATACTTCATTTCAATTTGTGGCTTCAAATCGCTTATTCGCCATGTAGGAGATGCATATGAATCAAATCTTTTTTTTTAAAATGAAACTCCGATTTAATGATCCTGATAGGCTGCTGTACTAAATTTCATAGGAACTAAAATCCATATGCTTGATCACTTGCTTTGCCTCAACACACGTGTGAAATGGTTGCTTCTCTTTCACATGACCGGTGAATTACTAGACGCCTTCATTGTTCAGGAGTGCTTAAATAAGCATGTTCAAGTCCGTGGAACTGAACAAAGTTAATGCTTCATCAATGCGTTTTGGTGAGATTCGAAAAAGGAATTGTTTCCTATGCTTTATTACCTACTCACTTAATGCACTCTGCGTCTCATTTGTACCTAGTCGCAAATAGTGTTTTGATTCTCGGCTCGTTGTAATTGATGCTGGTTGCTGATTTACCCTGTTCTTCTTCGTCAACTACAGTTATTTATTTTCAGCCCTTCGATGTGTTTCCTTCCTTTGGGGGCAGTGCGGGACCCTGGTTTACGCGCATCAATAATGAGATGCGAAGAGTCCATAACGAGATGATGAATTTCATGCGCGATTCAGGCATGCAATCAAACTTCGATGATTTCTGGCGCTTTCCCAGCATAAAAGATTGCTTCTCCAAGGATGAAAACGGGCAGGTAGTCATTACGTTCACATGGTAAATCTACCAGGCTTAGTGTGCAAGTTGTATTCACGAGGAAACTGGAGCAAGCGCCAACCTTTTAGGTTTACGTTTTATTTAGTCTTAAAAGTGCTAGTAAAACTGCTTCTCCCGGTATTGCAAGCAAACTTCTTAAGTCCGCTTCTTTCTAAAATGCAATTGTGTTTCATCTCTCGCAGACTTGGTTCAGGGCAAAGTTCGATCTCCAAGCGTTTAACCCGGAGGACATTGAAGTTAAAGTGGAAAACCAAACTCTCTCTGTCCACGCCAAGCACACTCAACGCGGGAATAACTCGTCCAGCGGACAGTACTTCTGCCGCGCCATGCTTCTGCCCGACGGAGTTTGCACAGAGGAGATCAAATCAAAGTTGGACAAGGTAACTACTGATCGGATTTGATTTTTTGGGCGAAGCCAGCGTATTTCCACTGCCAAGTGTCACTCTGAAACCGTTAGGCGTTCGCCGGTCTTCACAATTTTTATTCAATTTAATGTTTGGAACTGCATCAAGTTAGAATTTGCTGAAGCTTTTGCATACAGCAGAGTTTTCGCATCATACGATTTGTACTAATTTTCTGACTTGGTCATGCGACTAGGTGTACTATGTTAAGCGTAGGTGTGTCGTTTCTGCATCGCTTAGTCCTCATCGTCGCCCAGGAAAGTACGTAAACGAATCGTTTGGTGTGCACAAAATTCCGAGGTACTCTAGCAAAGCTTCGACAAACCAGTTGATTTGTGGGTGGCGCTTCACTCCAAAAAACCTTGGTCAATAACATTGGCAAATGAAGGAACTTGTGAAAAATAGGATTATTCTATCCGAAACACTGATATCTTTTTGAAGTCTGCATGCAAATGTGGCTCCAATTACTTGCCTTCCAAAGTGTGAACTATTAGAAACTAAGTAAGACTTCTTTAAATACATTTTGGCTTTAAATGAAGCAAGATTTTTGTTCTACTTGATGGATTTGACATAAAAGAACGAAGCCAATATCATTAGTCAATGAGAAGTATTTGTTCGGGAATTGAGTGCACTCTGAAGTTACACAAACCATGTCGCATTGTGTTGTTTAGAACGGAGTATTGACCGTGGAGGCGCCAGCTCCGGGCATCGAGGTGGAACGCCTGAGTCCGAGTCGGTCGACCCGCATTCCCATCGAGGAAGGTGGCTGTCGAAGACGATTCTATGACCGCAGTGTCGGTATGTATGACTAACTCCGATGGCAGCAACAGTGGTAACACCGGCAACATTGGCGACAGCACATGCTTGCCGAGCATTCTAACGCCTATCGTGGTGCCATCATTTCACTGGACCAGTCATTCACGTTCATCGTAACACCTGGACAACAGGCCCATCTCTGCACTCAATTTGACATTGCTTTCATTTGACTAAATTTTGCACTTAATGTGATTTTTCTTTATAGAAAACGACTTTCGTTTCATAACTGTTTGCTCGGTTTATATGCACTAACTCTTACGCGTTAAGACCACACTGCCCTAATGCTGTATTTCATATCGCACACTTTGACATACCCCCCCCCCCCCCCACCGGGTCTCATTCTTGCACCTGCCTTCAAAAAATAACTTCAAATTAAATCTTTCTCCTCATAATGAATGAAATCTATTCTCTAAGTAAATTCACGGCTCAAGGTGTTAAAATTAAACTAAGTCGAAATTGGGAGTGGTTTGTTGCGTGCGTCCCAAATTTTATACGAAGGACATGGCCAAGCAAACGAAGACAACTGATACCGTATAAAACCTATTTTCGGTAAACGCATGGAGAGGATGTCTAGGAAGATACACATTGGCAGATTCATCTAACATCCCAATTACTGCGTTCAGCTAAGGGAGTCATTGCATCCATCATGCCATCCACATTTAACCCCCGTCTTCCATTCGATTATAGGTCGCTTGAGGCCAAAGCATCGCAAAGGTAAATAATCGGCGCTTTCCCTCTTCATACAGAAAGACAGGCTCATAACTAACCATCAGTTGTGAGAAAGTACTGCAACAAGATAATCACATTAACACTATACAGCTTTTGGGATGATTTTTGGCAAATGTAGATACTGTGGTGCTCAATAACAATTTGAAAATTTCGCTGAAGCTCGAGAGGAATACGTCAGAGAAGACCAAAACGGCCTCCGATCACTGCACATAACGCTCCCAATTGACGGGATCTACGAGGGAAACCACCTTCACATTCAATGCAGCGGTGGCAAATTGGTAGTAGAGGGCGAAAGGGACGACAGCTACTTTTCCCGCTCCTTCCATGTTCCCTCCGATATTGATCCCGAGAGCCTCGATGCAAAGCTTTGCAATGGCGTTCTAACCATCACCGGCCCCATTCCGTAAAGTCACTATGCCGCACAATTTTTGTGGCAAAACTGCATACCTGATAACCCATACGTATGCTTTGTTTGAAGCTTATATTTTCGTAAAACCAAAAAATAGTATACCGCTGTGATTCTAGCGCCACAGTCCTCCAGAACCTCAAAAGCAGGGAGTCGACACAAAAAAAGTATACTCATACCATACAGCTATTTGGATAATAAGGGTTGTGTTATGAGTGAGGAGTACTAAATGCCAAATGTCATAAACCGCGCTATTGCCATGAGAATGCTTTTCACCTAAATTATGAAAAAAGCATCCATAAGGTGAGGGCAAAGATAACCAAAGAGAAAATGCAACTTCTGTATCACCTGTATAAGTACCATACTTCCTCATTAATAGAGTTTCCAAACAGTGCCAACAATAAACTTATTTAGGTGTTTTCGTAGTAATTTTAACAGAACACTGAAATGAGGTCACAGAGAGGAAGAAGTAGCTGAATCGAACGTTGAGTGCCCTGATGGTCTGAAGATAAATTTTTAGCAAAGATAATTGCATTCAGAAAAATTAATCCCTTCCATGTCGAACTTGGGTGCGGAACACATCGCTAAAATGGCCAAATTTCTTGATTTTAATGGCCACTAAGCCTCGCAAAAAGAGGCGGGGCTGAATAAGTTTCAGTACAAACGAAAGTGAAGAGTAAGTCGGGCCCAGAAGTTAGTTTGGATGAGAAATTGGGGAAGGTTGATGTAGAGCATTCATCATTTGATAATAAAAAGCCTTTGACACAGAAACTGCAACTAACTCTGTTGCGGAGACAAGGTTCCACCAATGAGGAAACGAAACTTGCCCAAACTTCGGTCACAGTGAAGAGAGTGAGCTGGTCCGCCAGACGCTGGCGGAGGCGGAGACCCTCCAGGAATTGGACAACCAAAGTGGAAGCGGTCTTGCGGAAGGCGGTCACCTCATCCCGTGTGTAAAAAGAATTCCCCTCTCCGCTCCACTCCACTTGCGAATGAACCATGAAATCGGACCTGCGGACAAGCCAGTTGACTCGTGGAAGGGACAGATAGTCCGGCGGCAGACGAACAAACAGGGGAGGCACCCGACAGGGCATCAACTAAAACACACAACTAATCGCTTCAAGCGCCCTATCCCTCATTCCTTGCTGGTGTTGGTGGGCAATTCAACACGTACACCACTTTAAAATGACCGAAGCTTTTGTATAATTATACCAATGTGACGCGGTGTTCATTTAAAGCTAAATTGCACACGATTATCTCATCTAGAAAATTCGGTGCTGCAGCACCCAGTCACACACAAAAGTCGGTCGAATGAGCCAACCATGAAGCCCTTTGATCAAACGAGCTGAAGTGAATTTACTGTAAATCCTAAAAGAATTGAAGATCAGTTCCAGCGATGGACAAAAGGCGCTATCAGAGGCAAATTACAATGAGGAGGTCCTTTGCGTTAATAAAAAAGTACAAAACCTTCAATGCCAACTATTCAAATCACACACTGTTCTCGCAAATTATTCGGTAGATGTTTATGAATGCTAATCGATCTGGGTGACTCGTTAAATTAGAGAAGCATACGTAGAATTAATTGCTAACTACAACAGACTTAAGCCTTAATTGCGCATTTGACGATGCAGAGGTATACGCACATTGGCCCTCACTTCATCGCACTCAGCACAAAGTCTTCATCTATGCATACGATGAGTCGTTTTAGCCATAAATTCAACTCTGTGTACCGAAAACCCACAGTAATGTAATTGCATGGATAATTACCTTACACTCTAATTGACATAAAACAAAATGTGTGAAAGGTGAACCAGTAAAGTGAACAATATATCTCTACAGATTAACTCAAGTGGCTTTGGCGTTCTGCTTGCCTTCTCATTAGATAACGCTAAAATGAAATGCAAATATGATCTGCTAATTCCAGTCATACATCCACTACCTAGCAACTAGCAAAGCAGTGCGCTTATAATTAATTTAAAAGGGTGTGAATTCGCAAAAGACAGTGGAGGAGAGCAGGCAAGCAATAAACTAACCTTGTCAGTAAATAGGACTTCCAGGTGGAGACTGCTGTTCCACTCCGCCAAATCGCGACAGGTGACGTGGTTCTCCATCTCCTCCATGCTAGGGTATGCCTCAGCGGACGATGTGGAACCTTGATGTGGATGAGCTAGTGAAATCTCCACCCCCTCAAGGCTCTCTCTGATACGACCCAACTCCTGCCTCAGTCGAGGATTTATATCCTCCATAGTGAGGTGTACATCCATTGATGATTTTCCACTGTACACAAGGCGGTCTACCACCAACGAAGATGTCAATTACTGTCGCACAAGAGACTGAAGTTTATCTCCTTTATTTGCAAAGACTTGTTTCCAAGAGTTCTGTTAAACTGAATTTTAAATCGTTCCAACTGCTCTTAAAGTTATGCATTTTTATCTCGGTTTCCACAGACATACTTAGAGCAAATGAGGAGCATTGACCAGCAGAAAAGCAAAGCACCATACAAGAGAAGCATGTACAAGACGAACATACCTTCAGCTCCGACATGAATCTGAAGTGAAAAAAGAAACATAAAATTGGGGCGAATCCACTTCACTTTGCCTTTTCTGTTGAACCTTGCAGCTGCCATCTACCACATAATATCCAGGTAAGTTATTTTCAGTGTTACTTAACACACTACTGCAATATGCATTAGTAGGAAGGCAGTTAGTTATAGAACAGGGAAAACATACAGGTACCTCCGCCATAGTCCGACGCTCTACACCACCAACTTTCGATCGTTTTGGGTCACACATTTGTCTGTCACCATCAGCACTACCAAAATCCCCCTCCACTTTCTCGCCTCCTCTTACACGCTTGCATCCAATGCGGAAGTTCATCTCGTCTTTCTCTGACGATTCCGCTTCGACCGCCACCTTCGCCACAGGCAGGGGACTTGGAAAAACATCCCGTGGTAGCACGTGACCTGTCGTCTCACGCAATTCGCGTGTCTCCTCTGATACCTACAAGGGGATCCGTTGGTGCTTATGAGGCCACTCATCCTACCTGGCCCGGCCATGCACGTGTGACCTAGTGTAATAAACCCACCTCGTTCATAGCCCGAGTGAAGCGCACTCTGCCCACCTGCTTCTCAAGAGTCATAAATTCCTTTGCTAGTTTGTCCATGGCAGCTTGAAAGGGGTCGGCAGGGGGCTGGTGAGCTTGTTCGGATGTCACTATCATTTGCTGTTGCTGCTGTTGCTGTTGCATGTGCCGAGCTGTGGCAGCTGCGGCAGCGGACTGAGACGTCATTTGGCCAGGATATGGACATATTCCGGCTTCCGGAGGGTCCACTGGTTGCGACAAAAGGGAATTTAGGCTAGAAGATGTAGCTGCTAAAACAGTAACAAAAAATGGACATTTGAGAAACATTATCACTATCTCGTCCTTCTGAAAAACTATTACTTTTCTTGACTCCAACTTTCAGCCTCACGTTAAAAGAAATGATATCAATGCTTGTTTTTCAGTCAAAATGAATTGGCCTTTCAATGGAATAGCGGAGAATGTGTTCAAAGAAATGACTACAAAGTTTAATTATAACAAAATCTTCACAGTACCACTAGCAAATTTACCCTAAAATTAACTGACTGTGTTAGATGGCTGTATGTGCAAAATAAAATGTACCAATGGTGGGTCGAATTCCAGGGGGCACGAAGCGTTGGGCTTGAGCTACTCGCTTTTGGGCAAGCAACTTTTGAGGCGCCTCTTCTGAAACTGCACCACTGCTGCCAACAACAACAACACCCTGGTGTTGTTGCTGTTGGGCCGTACGCTTTTGGAGAAGATGGAATGGATCCTGTTGAAGCTGACGAATAAACATTTCAATCCGTCCCATATTTTGCGGTGGAATTTTGTCCTAAAAAGCAAATGAAACATCGGTTAAGACGAAAAATAATTGAACTCTGAAATAGTATGAAACATGGCTTTTAGGTTTCTTTAACTAAATAGTCGGGCCTTATTACGTTAATCGACAAAACTGTCGCCTGTTTCAAAAGGCGCTGTCCCCAGCGCACTGAACCACTCACTCTTTCGAGAAGGGCTTTGAGTTGATGATAGTTTTTCATATCCGCATCCGGCTGATGAATGCGAACTTGCTGCATTGCACTTTCCAGCACCATTAAGTACCGCTGCTGCTGTTGCTGCTGCTGCTCCGGTGTGGCCGGTCCGGCAGCACCGGATGGCGTCGCCGTCGCCGTTGTCAAGGTGTGGATTACCTGAGTTCCAGCAGCTAACATACAAACACGAGTGGAGATTAAAGTGGGGAAAAGCGGTTAAAAGAAAGATAAGATGATCACGGCTCGTTAGTTGCAATGCCACAGTACTCACCGTGTTCGCCGGGCTGTTGGCGTTGTGGCTGGACCATGGCGTTCGTTGCTGACCTAGTTGCCGTCTGGCTCCCGCCGCCACCTTGTGAGACAAGCGTTTGTTGGGAGGAGGGGATGATTTTCATGGTAGGGCCATTCGCACGAGGCTGCGGTACCACCATTCGTTGCTGCTGCTGGGTTTCCGCTGAAATGAAGTGTTGCTGCGGGCTCACCTGCACTTGGTTCGGCTGCGTCACTAGATGCATGGCCTGGGAAAGTACCAACAATCGACCCCGTAGTGGCTTGTTCCACTCAGCTGAGAATTTCATAATCAAAGTGGGCCAACAATGCTTAGCCATTTAATAGTGTGCAAGCTATGCACAAATCGCGGAGGGCAGGAGAGGCAAAACGTAGCAGGACTACGAAACAACAACAATTTTCTCGATGCTGTCTAATTGAAAGAAGCAGCATCAAGTAATTCTTGTTTACTTACTAACGTGGGGTCTACTTCCCTAAAACACTAGGCAGTCTAACTAGGAATGTGTGGTTTGAATGATCATAAAGCTAATGGTAATAATAGGGCGCTTGGATGAGAGACGCACCGATGCGTTGTTGTTGTTAGAGATGAAGCGAATGGGAGCATTGGAATTGGAGACTGGCGATTGAACACTGGGTGCACCAACACGCAGTGTGGTGCCATAGACGGGCTGTTGAACACCTTTAAAGCAAAGGGTCAAGGTGATAAGACAATAACTACGTGAATACTTCTACAGATACCTATGCATAAAAAGATGCTGGAACGGCAAGGGTGAACATATCTGTGGTGGTTATAGTAAACCCAAACAGATATGAGGCTTTACAGACAAAAAAGGGTTCTACATAGCGACAGCAAAACATCTACGTCCCATATGCATGCGCTTGACACCGTTGCAGCCGCCGAGTGAAAGCGGATGTTATCATTTTTACGACTTTTCATAAAGATCAAAGCAAATTTGCACTAACGTAACACCTTTCCGTGCATGCAGTAGCTAATAGTAACAAGCCCTCCACTCAAGTGCATTAGTCTATTCGTCCAGATGCCTTTTGTGAACCAAGTTTCAATGGACAAATCAATGCACATTGCCTATTTACAAACAGAGTAGTCTGCTATGCGGTCGAACGAACCAAGCCAAACACATCAGATGAAAAGGAGCACAAAAGTAGTGGGAAAGTGGGATTAGGCAAACACAGGAAGCGGGAACGGCCTGAGCAGTAGCGCAGAAAACTAACCTTGGATGATCACTGTAATCACGGCACAAACGGAAAAAAAAGTAACATAGAAACGGATAAATTTGTGATCAAATGTAGTGAGACATAAAAAGGAGCACTTCAAATGCACAGCGGAATGAACACTACGTCGGCCGAATTAAAAGTAGAGCCATTGCACCAGCAATTCTACGGCAACTCGTGTATGCAAGATCTTTAACTCCAATTTCGCATGATTTCGCGGAGCACGTAAAGCCAAGTAAAGCTTTCGGTGATGTGCATGTGTACACACCCACACGCAAGGTCAGGCTTAACATATGAGACCACCATCCAGGAAAGGTTTCTGTGTTAATCAATGAGACTTTGCCTTTTATAATGCTCGGCCAACCGAAAATCAAGCTGAGTTCAGGGTTTTAAAGAGCGGGTTATTAAAATAATGTTAAGAGAAAGGAAGACAACGCTTTCAATATGCATAGGTCAATGGACACGATTAATGATCGTTACTAAACATAAAGGTACTGAGAATGCAAGCAAATCTAAAATCATTTTTACCGAAAAAATCATCTAGGAAACATATGTACGAGTGATTTTAAAAAAAGTGGTATTGCTGTTAACAGAGACACGCATGAGGGCAAAATATGTTTAGAAAATTGGAATGAATCTACTAGAGTGAGTATGTCAGCACACCATAAGGCAACCAGGCAATAATTTCACACCAAAATGTTTAGAATACTAAATGGTCAAGATTCACTATGCTAGAAGGCAATGCAAGAATGCCGAGAATACAAGGAAAATAGGCCCACAAAGTGGAAGAAACCCTACCAGAACGTCGTCTCATCTGGCCTAAAAAAGGTAAGCAATCGTAGTAATAAGCACGCTCACCTTCGATGGTCATCAAAGGCAGTATGTAACAACAAGCGGACCTCCTTAATTCCGAAGAACTACTTACCAGGAGCTCCCATTTGAAATATCGGCATTGTTGGCAGATGTGCATTACCCTGCTGCCCATAACTACAATGGTGATAAGAGAGGTTTCGGTGTAAGGGCTCTAGATCTCTCAAATAGTCTAATCCTTCCTATCGGCGCTAATCATAACGTAGAACTCGCCTCGTGACCATGGATCTTTGTTGATCGATCATCCCCACTTGCATGCCATGACCCGCATCAGTCGTCATATAGGCCGTTTGTGCTTGCGACTGCGGTTGTAACATGCCCTGGGATATCACATGAACTTGTTGGGGCATTTGTCCACCCGCAGGCATCTACGAGAAATGATAGCGAAGGGATTTGTATGAAACAACGGTTTGGAATCAATTACTAGGAACAAATAGACATTGTGTCCCATGATTGTGCCCCAAATTCTACCAATGGAGGTGACATTCAATTACGGAAAAACGAAAGTCGTAAAAGAGGGCCAAGTAGTTTAAGACATGAGCTCCGAGTAGAAAATAGAACAAACTTACAGACGCGATATAGAGAAAAGCAGACTCATGTGGGAAAAAGACATAAACCGTGCCCCAAAAGCAGATTTGAGGCTCATCTCAGTAACGATGAGAAGACGAAAAAGTTCAGGACTATTATTTGAAAAACACGTTTTACCTTAGTATCTCTGATTGGAAAAAATGCTCTTATTCTTACTCGAGTCTGTCCTCCAACGAAGGGTGTGACGGGTTTGTCTACAGCCAGTTGACCTGTCTTTGCAATTTGAGGTCGTTGCATACAAACGATATTTGGCGCTTGAGGCATGTGTACCGACATTGTGTGATGAATAACCGGTTGTGGTCTCATTTGTGATTGCATTGGAGGCTGCATTTGGGAAAGTTGCACTTGCGATGGAGCACCCAAATGGATTTGTGGCTGACCATCAGGACCATTACTGGACATTTCGTATACCTTTAAGAAGCATATAACACACTAGCTACTTTTGTTTATATCAAACAAGTGCCAAGCAGAACCTACGCACACTAACGCAACCAATCCTACCTAAGCTAACACCACCAACTCAAAGTGCGCGGCGAGAAGTTTGTTAAGTAAAAGATGTTTTGTTTCGAAGGTACAATTAACATAAAGCCAACTTTTTAATCTCTTGTTCCTTTACATTTGGAGTTAAAGTTTCAGCTGAATATGCCCATAAGTTTGTGCATGTAAAGGTAGGGATTCTGAATTTGGTACTATTGTGCTTCCCTGGCCCGCCTCGAAGTCGTGATAAGTCAGAGCCCGAAGACCGTGGCGTGGACTAAGAGTACAATCAATAAACGCCAAAACGTCCGCGTGGCTAAAAGCCTAGTTAAACAAGGTGTCAAATCACCACTTTAACCCTAGTTTAGTCTCATATTTCTGCGTACAATTATATTCCACTCTTTCGTGTTTCAAAGTGCTGTTGACATCCAGCATGGCAAGAAAGGTCGCGATAAACATATATAGTAGCTAGAAACAACAATTACACGAATTAATTTGTTAGTAATCACAGGCTAGAACCATTCAGTTGACATTTCTTTCCAAAGTGGAACGCTGTGTAAACCTATCCACTAGTATTATTTCATTTGTAAGTAACTGACTTCTCAAAAATCAGTCAATATTTTTCCTCATACTATCTCTCAAATTGATTATTTGTTACCTAATAAGAGCAGATTAATCTGAGGATAATATATGCGCCTTAAAGTCACTTGCAGGTACCCAAAATCACCTATCCCGGTCAGGTGCATGTCGACCATTTCCGGTTACCTGAAACCCCACCGCACTACTCCTTATCCACCAAATTCCGGCCAGTCACCTCAACAATCCATTAACAACTCAAAAGTAGTCACTGGCTATTTACACGGCTTCCTCTACTCTCTCTATTGGTCTTCGAAGACAAAATTTTTCATAGAACGTAAATCGAGTCCTCAATCTTGTGCAAATGACTGAGTTTAGACTGTGAAATTAACGATGACCACCCTCCATCCAATCATTTGCTTTGGGTACAAACAACGCTAGTAACTACTCCAGCTTCCGAAGATGAGAATAAATGAAATGCTACCAAAGTGCTGGTGATATTGGTGGGTACTACATTGCGCTATAAGACTAAAAGCTTAGGCCAAAACACAGGCACGATCCGTGGATCACGTCAGACTTAAACATTGTTTACTCACTTCGTGGTAAAGTGGATCAGGACCAAGTTGAAGAGGAGGCAATTTCACTGTTAGTAAACGTCATCTCCCCAACCTGTTGATGAATTTCGCGACTGCCGCCTGGAATAGGCCGCATCAAACCAAGTGGGAAATCGCTTATGTTAGGGGACCGGTGTCTCGTGTTCGCCTTAGCCATCCTGCGTTTTCACTGCCTGAGCAATCTGAACTGCTTCCATTCTCTTTCGACTTACTAACCTGACTGATAGCTGCTACTAACATGAACCCATACGCTCTCACTACCCGCGCACGCGCTAACATAAGCCTCTCGCCTTCTGCTTGCTCATGGACAGGGTTATGTGGGATTTCATGTCTGGGAGCACAGCCAGATTACAACAGTGGTGACGCACTTTAGAAGGGCCTCAAAATGCTCTAAAGCCTAAAAATTTCAGTCTACTTCTTCACCCGAACAAGAGTAACAACCCATTAGACCTTTTGCCAATAATGTTTCGAAGTTTTACCACGAATCAGATTCCAGATCCGCGTTTAAACCTTGGTCTGAAATTTAACAAGCCGACGCTGAGTGCTGATGGGAAGCTCAATTGCTGCCACGAAAGCGTCAAACAACTGAACAGGAGAGGCTCTAATTATTGAAATCGCCAAAAGACTTAAGTTTTGATGGTGGGATCAGTGTTTATTTTGCTCTGCAAACGCACGAAAGTTGGCTAGATGCAGTGATGTTGATTGGTGACCAATGCAGAAGGAGTCGGTCGTCAGTGCCAATACTCAAAGCCTAGGGAGACGACCTACAACAAATTAAAATCTCATTATCTTGTCTTCCAGGTAAAGTCGAATAAGGCAATCGAGTACCAACACTTGCTCAATTTTGATCATGCTGCTGCCACTGTCGAAACCAACTGCGAGGCCTCTTTAAGCCGTGTCAGTGAGGTGGTATGTCAAAACCAAATAGCAACCAATATCTCTGTTACCCAGGTTTCAAGCTCATCCACATCTGCTCACTGAAAGTGCAACGAGTGGAATTTTTCGGCTATTTCCGTTTAATAAACAGCGATCCCAGAAATGTTACAGATGAGAACCCAAATAACGCTGTCGTCAGAGGCTTGTCAAATTTCAGACCCGGCCAACAAAGCGAATGCAGAAAAGTACCCGAGCTTTCCTTGTGCTAATCAAGTTTAACGTACCCAAGCACCACAAGATGTACGTCACTTTGTCTATCAATAACATTTCGAAGAAATTATAATGGACATCGCCTTCAACACGAGTATCGTATCGATAAATACATGGGTGACTATTGAGTGGACACCTACAAAACCAAGTGTCCGTCTGTCAATTACAGCTTCGGGATCAAGGATTCAGCTGACTGATGAGATCTGATGATAAGTCTCAGTCAAAAACTCTCACTTGAATGGTATACGCTATTTGACCTACCAACCCAGCTTGAATGACCTCAGTCTTGATCAGAATTAAAGCCTCATGTTCAGTTAAATCCTTTAGACCTCAGGGTAAGAAGCCCCGTTGCAAAGACCTGACTGAATGCGCCGACGACCAAACCAACTCTTTATGAAATTAGTACCCCCAAATTTTTAGTCTGATTCTCGGCTCGTGTGATGAAATCAGACCCACCGTGGTCTTGTGTTCGAATTCGATACTGGTGTCTCTGGAGAAAACAGGGACTAGAAAGGCTGCAAATGGGAGGCGTTCTGAAGCCTGCAAAGTTTCCAGTATGGTTTGCTCTAATGGCAATCGTCAAAAACTTAGCAGAAAGTTCAGACTATGAGCTATTTTATTATAGTGGATCCATCGTACTACTAGAGGATCACCACTGCTCATTAGCAGTCCCAAAAGATCTATTCTTCGGACTGAACGGAGGTCGGTACTTCGTGAAAGTGGAACCTTTGGACGCCTTATTCAGATTGAGGTCACCGAAAAGTCCTTGGAGTCCTCGATGATCAACATACCTCCTGGACTGTTTCAGCACACGAGTTGCACAGTTGGTATCGAAACTGGTCCAGCCACATTTCGGTAGATCATGGACACCATGCTGCACGATGTGGGAGGCGGCGCAGCCTATTTGAGTGATATCATCAAAACAGGTTCAGAGCGAAATTAACTGATTCAACAAATAAAGTACGCCCTTGATTGAATGAAAGATGATAGATACCATCTACACGAAGTCGAATGTCTCTCATTTGGATTCCGTGAAGCATGTGGGGCTAACAACCGATAAATACGGATGGATGTCAGACCCGTTGGATGTCGAAACCATCAAGAAAAATGCTATTATTCAAAAACGGTGATTCACTGCGATCCTTTTCGGCCGGCAGTGTAGGACATTTGTGGTCGGCTTAATCAATTTCTCACAAAGTGTCATTGGTAGATTGAATATTGGCAGCCCTTTCAGATGATGACTCATTACGACATCCAGTCGAGCATCTTTCTTGCTTCAGATGCATCGAATTAGGGATTTGGATGGAGTCATCTCTCACACCTTCTCCTGATGGAAAGAAAAGGGTGGTGGCTTATGCTCCTTATTCTCTGATGGCAGTGGAACAGAACTACAGCCAGACTAAAGAAGAGGCTCTGGCTACAGCAGCTACTGTGACCGAATTGTACAAGATGTTATTTAGATGACATTTCACAATGCTTACAGCTCGTAATGTCCCTTTCATTCATTTTAAGATCAAAAAGAACATTTTTGCAAATAGCATTTCCTAAAATGATAACGGGGATGGGTGGTTGTATTGCTTGGCTACGATTGCACTGTCCACCAATAAACAATTGATAGAATGCTGGTGCTCTAAAAGGTTTAATGAAAGAACGTCAAGAGAAACAGGAAGACTCTATTAGCAAGCTTGAATCGGAGCCAGCTGGTGCAGTTGCTGCAGATGTTAGAGAACTTCCCCGGATCCTTGTCTAAGTCAAGACACAACTAGGCCACAACACCCTGTATCCGTCCATGCTTGTTCATCCCCAATCAAATGCAGGAATGTTTGCGCTAAGAAGCAGTTTAAACTATGGTTGTCATCGAACTGTTTGCAAAAATCGGAGTCGGCATAACTGTTGATATGACCGTACACAAATGTGCAAACACAAATTAGTATAGTGGAGAAAGTCTCTTTGTCCACGGGTTTTGTGGTGGAAAGTGAGAAATTGAAGCCGATGAATAGAGACCAAATTATCTATGGAAAATTTGGGGTCAACATGGATTACAATATTTTCGTAGTTATGATTCCTGATTTGAAGGGCAACTTTCCAATAAGGAAGTGGTACAGTTAAATAATTTTGAACCACCTAAGGCGGTATAGACTAAGCAGACCCTATCATCCCCCTCGTAAGAACAGATTCCCACTCTATGTGCTTCTGTTTTAAAGAATGACTCAATTTACGTTGAGATCCTATTGCAGCTGTGTAGGCTAATGGAACAACAGTACCCTAATGGGGCTACATACCACCACCGAGTAAGCCCTTGTGCGCTCTTTCCTTGCACCTTCCAATTGGTGATATAGATCTTCGATGGAATGCTTTCCGTTTGCACGAATTTGGAAACTATGACCATGAAATTTGTTTCTCACTTTCATTCTTATTGACATTTTTAAGGAACGTATTTTCGGGGATTGGACTTAGCTAAAATCAAATTTAGCCTGTTAATGCGGTACATCACGCCTCCAATTTTATTGCAGTGGAGCGCAAGAAGCCTCATTCCAATATTTTCCAATGGTTTTGATTTGCAAGTACTGTTTCCACATTTCGATTTCACAAAGTGGCAAATCGAATTTACCATGAAACGTACAAAGCATTAGCACTAACGACAATTATGACAGCAATTGTAGTGATTTGACATAATTGAATATATGGGATCTTCGGTCTTTGCAGGTTTTGCATTCACTTGACTACTAGGGTCGTGTCTATAGGCCCTCTGTATGTTGAATTCTAGGACTTACCTGCATACCCAAAAAGCGCCCTCATTTTTGAACTTCTGGAAGTTTTTGTTTTGGTAATTCCTTTCTTACCTAATTCTCGACCATTCTAGAACTCTTTAAGACTTGCACCCTAATGAAGTTCTCCTCCTTGACCTAGATTATGCGAATCATGTACTTGTATTAATAATCAATTTAAAATTAAGGCCGCACGAAATGCTACAAAATCGTGAGGATAGTAACCATCCAGCCAGCAGTTGCGTACACGAGCCCTGGCCTTCTAGCGTACTCCCATTATCAACGTTAGAGATCCTTGTACTAAAATCTACCTCATGATTACTCTAATTGGAATCTTGAAAGTGACCATTCTGACACCGATCTTCCACGCTGATATGGGTTAGTAAGACTTGCGAGAAAACGTCAAAAGCTACATAACACAATCTTTTCCCCATTAAAGTTTAGCTGACGTCTGGATTGAAGTAATCACTGGAAAGCAGTTATGGATTTGGCCTTCTTTTTAATCAAGTAATAAGTGCCAAAAATGGTATCTTTTCCGCTACACGTGCTACTAAAAGCACTATTATGTCCATCATAGAGGTTTATGACATCCACAAATGAAATAAAATTAACGATGTGATAAACTGGAATACTAAATGTGTTATAGCAGTGGGAAATATACCTTTACGTAAGATGCAGCTACCATACTCGGGTCGTGTGTAGTAGAAACTTTTACAATGTCCTATTAATGTTATGAGACGGATTTTAAAAAGGTTTCTTAAAGAGCTTCTTTGAATGATAAAGTAAATTAAATTTATCAAGTAACTTCTACAAAACTGTATTAGTTGACGAGCAGATGTATAAAACCAATTTCATGGATATATTTTGGAAGCATCACATTTATTACCATAAAGGCGTTTAAGTAGTACGTAGTCTCAAACAGGCAATAAAAAATCTCATTCTAGAATACAGACTAATGTAAACGAATAAACCGTTTGACATCAATCATCTGTCTTCTCATTTCCATGTTAGATTAGTTAAATAACTCATTTCCTTTCATTCACCACCTCATATTTTTTTACTGACACTAAGATGATAATGCGATGCATTCTTATAATCGTGACTGGCCACCAACACAGGGTCACTGACAGTCGCAGTTGAAAGGGGGACCAGTGTTTTATATCCATTGGCAATTACCAACTTTGTGATTTCCCTTATGCCAAGTATTTATGAACCCTAGTTTTCCTTCCTTTTCCTTCTATGCTGTGATAAATTGTCATTATCCCTTAAGGTGAAACATGGGGTGTGATTTTTGAAAGGATTGAACAGACGCATGCATGATTTAAACAAGCACCACAAATTTTACCAACATTACTTAGAAATGCTCACTGCCATCCAAATTGGAGGAGAATAATTTGGAGTTTTGGAGGCAATCACATAATGCGGCGCACTCATTGATTCACCTTGCAAAAGTAGCGAGAAAGGCGTATTTATGTGGAAATCAGCTTAGAGCAGATTAGCAACTTGACTTGAGTGAGAACCTCATGCAGCACAAGCATCAAAATTTCAAATTGCTGATTCCTTCCGCATATTAGGCCCCCCCTCTAAAACACACCTTGGTCCTTCGCTCTCTCCCATTCCAC